AATTTGCTTTGTTTTGCTTTGTTCAATTTGCAGCGAAGTTGAGGTCAGTCAATGAAGTGAAGTACAAGAGTGACGAAGTACAATTTTAAGCTTAATTAAATATGCATGTATGTACATACCGATTTTTAAGTAAAATACATACATATGTATGTATAAAAACTGATTTATAAAAAGTTTAATTAATTTTAATCTTTTAAGATATTTTCTGATTTCAATCTAATATAAATAAGTATGTACTTATCTAGGCATTCTACATTAGTTTCTCTGTAAGGCATTCTTTGCTCGCTTCTCTGGATTCTGTTTATCCATGCGTTCTCCCTTCGCTTGAAGGTAATGCTGCGGGTAAGGGCTTACCGCCAATGACATGCCCATGTTAAAATAAGGCCTTCTTGCGTTTCTGTGGTAATCGTGTTTTTTGCTGGGAATGAGTAGTCAAATAAAAATGCGCAAAACATGTTGTATGAGAAATGAGCAGGAAATAATATTATTCATACGCCATGTACCCCCAAGTAGCACGCTGTTATGTCCATATTTCATACAAAAAATCTTTGCGCATTTTCATTTGATTACTCATTGCTTTATTTATTCATCGATTTTCTTCACTAGCTACTTGATTATTTTAACAGAACAGGCTTTAGGACAAAAGTAAAAATTTAACACAGAACCTGTATCTTCTGTTAAAGTATTTTTTTTCATATTTTCATAAAAAAAAACAAAAAATCTAGAAGGATTAATTAATTTGTCAGAAACTATCAATCCTATCAGAATGTGACGTACAGACGGTTAACAGAAAATTTTGTTAGCCATATATATATATATATATGTATATTTCATGCTCAAATGATCGGATATAAACAAAATTAGTATGGGACCACCTCTGAGGCACTACCTTTCCGATGCAAAAAATCGGTTGACGTGGTCCAAGGTTATGCGATAACATACAAAAAAAAAAAAAATACAAAAAAAAAATATTCCGACGTCTGTTTTTGGAAGTCGGTTAAAAATTAAAGCGGGCGATTCTACATACGAATTGGATAGTGGCCTCTGGAGAACAAAAACCAAATTAAAATTTGTGATCCAGTGTAATTTTTGGAATTAATCATACCTTTGAAATTACAAAGTCCTTTAAAATAAATCCTGACGTCAAAGAGGAAAACTAAAAACGCCACTTTAAATAAAAAAGTAGGTTTCAAACCCATTTATTTATTATTTATTTTATGGTAGGGGAGCTTCTCAAACAATATAGAAGCAATTTTTTCGATTTAAGTTGTTGAAAAGTAATGAATATCTAAAAAAAACTGAAAAATTAGCATCCCTAGTACATACATAACTACACTGGTTTAGAGCAAAAATGTTCAATGGATGCCACTATCCAATTTCTCTATAAAATTGATCGGTGAATCGGAAAATCTAGTAATTTTTTTTTTCCTATGAATACGTTTTCGAGATATTTGCAATTTACCGTTATTCGGCTTAAAACAAAAAGTGGTTCCACTTAATCACGTATATCTTACGAACCAATTTAACAATATTAAAATGAGATACGTCAATTCAAAGCTAATAAAATTACCCATTATGAATTAGCTTTGACTTTTCGTATCTTATTTTTAGATTGTTAAATTGGTTCGTAAGATATACGTGATTAAGTGGAACCCTTTCCTGTTTTAAACTGAATAACGGTAAATTGCAATTATCTGAAAAACGTATCCATAGATTTGCGGAATCACCGAGCAATTCTACTTAGAAATTGGATAGTGGCATATGGAGGCCAAAAAGCAAACTAAAATTTGTGATCCAGTGCTATTAGGGCGTCATAATCATTCGTTAGGGATAATATTTGTGCAAAGTCTTATCTACCAGAATTAAATATGTATATCGTTTTTGAATTTAACTCCTTTAACTTGAAAACCAACTGCACTTGCATATCATGAACATAAATTCTATACTAGTTCTGGTTGAAACATGGTAAAATAAAATTATTAGCCTACTTTTATACAATAATCCAATTCTTTACGTTATAAGTAATAAACAATTTTAAGATTCATTGTTTTGAAACTCCTTCCAGATAAAAGATTTGCTGATATCTGTGGTGGGAAGTCACGATTTGAAAATTTCAGACTTTGGTCTCTCTCGCAAAATTAACAGTCACGCTCTTACAACATTAGATTTTGGAATGCCCGAGTATGTATCACCTGAGGTGGTTAATAAAGAAGGTGTAGGATTTGCCCATGATATGTGGGCAGTAGGAGTAATAACATACACGCTACTTAGTGGGCGAAACCCCTTCAGAGGGATTGATGACTACGAAACACTATTAAAGGTTCGTGAGGGGCGTTGGGAATTTAATGATTCAGTTTGGTCACATATATCAGACGATGGAAGAGACTTTATTTCAAGATTGCTGTCATATAGAGCTGACGATCGAATGGATGTAAAAACAGCCTTAAAACACCCATGGTTCTTTATGTTAGAAAGACTGCCTACTGGAAATGAATATCAAATCACGACTGATCATCTCCGGAACTACTATAATCAATTCAGGGATTGGAGTTCGAACGCAGCATGCAAAAATTATTTCCGACGAAGGCGACTTAGTGGGTGTTACAATCACCCATCTAGAATGGTGTATCCTCCAGGACATTCATATACACCTGAGCCCACACCAGAACCATTACCAGAGCCGAAAAAACGATCCACTAAAAGAGAAGATGCAGTGTCAAAATATTTGCACCCTGATTACGAACTAGGCCTAATTCAATCAGAAAGTCAGTAAGTATTTTTTACACATATTAAATACATATCTTCCAGGTCAATTTATGATTGTACAAATAATTAAATAATAAAAAAAACGTTAAGGGAAAAGTAAAGGTAATTATAATGGCAGTCGTCGATTTTGTGTTCGCCTTCGTTATGGTAATCGTAATTGTAACTGTAATGGCAGTAGTCGTTTATGCGCTCGCCTTCGTACACAACTTTGTATTCGTGTTTGAATTTGCATTCGTCCTTGTATTCGTTTTCGTGTTCGTATTCCTCTTCGTGTTCATATTAGTTCCCATTNTAATGGCAGTCGTCGATTTTGTGTTCGCCTTCGTTATGGTAATCGTAATTGTAACTGTAATGGCAGTAGTCGTTTTTGCCCTCGCCTTCGTACACAACTTTGTATTCGTGTTTGAATTTGCATTCGTCCTTGTATTCGTTTTCGTGTTCATATTAATTCCCATTGTAGTCGTCGTCGTCGTCTTCTACTTGTCTTCGTGTTCGTTTTCTTATTCGTGATCGCCTTCGTATGAATTTTCACTTTCGTGGTTATGTTCGTCTTCGGCTTCTCCATCGTAATCGTATTCGTCTTTGGATTTGTCTTAGGTTTAGTTTTAATCTTAGTGTTAGTACTTAACCTTAAGAGTGTCACATATTTCCTTTTAATGATATTTATATCGTGTTCGTTNGTATTCGTCTTTGGATTTGTCTTAGGTTTAGTTTTAATCTTAGTGTTAGTCCTTAACCTTAAGAGTGTCACATATTTCCTTTTAATGATATTTATATCGTGTTCGTCTTCGTCTTCGTTTTCGTTCGTGTTCATGTTCATCCTCTTCTTCGGCTTCTCAATCGTCTCCGGTTTGTAATCGCTTCCGTCTTCGTATTCGTCTCGGTCTTACTTTTGGTCACTGTCTTTGTATTCCTCTTCGCATTCGTTTTAGTATCATACGTGTTATGTCTTCGTGGCGATTCTCGAATTCTCCTTCGTCCTCATGCTTCGTCAGCGTAATCGTATTTAGATTTCTCTTAGGATTTAGTCCAAATCTTAGTATTATTCCTTAACCAAAGGCATGTTTTGCATCCTAAGCAAAAAATAATAACATACCAAAAATTGAGGTCTCCTTTCTGAGCCNTCACTGTCTTTGTATTCCTCTTCGCATTCGTTTTAGTATCATACGTGTTACGTCTTCGTGGCGATTCTCGAATTCTCCTTCGTCCTCATGCATCGTCAGCGTAATCGTATTTAGATTTCTCTTAGGATTTAGTCCTAATCTTAGTATTATTCCTTAACCAAAGGCATGTTTTGCATCCTAAGCAAAAAATAATAACATACCAAAAATTGAGGTCTCCTTTCTGAGCACAAAATAAAACTCAAGAAATTAGAAAGATTACACTGTGCTACACAAAAAATGTGCAGGGGTTCTCATATAGAAATTATGTTTTGTTATAGCCCATAGGGCACGACTATATTTACCTTTCTAACAAAAAAACAGTTTGAAAATGGGCTGGATAAGGGCCGATTGATCTTTTAATTAAAAAAAAAAAACGTGTATTTTTCAAAAAACTTTCATTTTCTTCACGCTCTTATTTATCCATAGATCTTCTTCATTGGCATCTTAATTGTTTTCTAAAGGACCAGGCTTTAACACAAGCGCAAGCCATTTACACAGAAACTGTTAGTTTCTAATTTATTCCTTGTTAAAGTTTGAATTTTTCGCAACTTTTCATAAAAAAGAAAAAATTTGAATTATCAATTAATTTCTTAGAAACTGTCAAGGCTATCGAAAAGTAATGTATATACGGTTTATGGAGAATTTTATTTACTTTCCTTTGCGATATCTCGTATTACGACTATTTAATTGGTTCGTAAGATATACCTGATTAAGTGGAACCACTCTTTTTTTAAGCTGAATTACGGTAAATTGCTAATATCTCGAAAACGTATCTATTCAAAAAAAATTAACTCGATTCTCGGAATCAGTCAGCAATTCTACATACAAATTGGATAGTGGCATCTGGAAATCAAAATTAAAATTTGTGATCCACTGTATTTATTCAAAATTGACATTTACAATCGCTCTTTACCAAACAAGTGTTTTTTCAAGAATTTTAGACACCATCCACTTATATGATATACAGCATATTTTGCTTTGCTGCCTTTATGCTTAAGTGCACATTTA